CGTGCTATTCCGATTCCAGCAGAAAATGTACGGATACTCGAATCTCCAACGGACTTTTACCAATTTCTTCTGGTAAGTTATTCCTTTGATTTTTTTCTCGAAATCTGAGTTGCTAGAGTGTCTAGAAAGATTTGCTTGTCATGAAAATTTGGAACATTTCAATCGATTTCGTTGGTACGTAAAGTATTCATGGAGCATTTGTGTGGGAAAAATTCACTTGTATACACCGAATTTGGTGTTAACCATTGTGTGATTAGCTTAAATCTCAGCCTAATGCTCCATTTTTCTCCTTTCGAAGTCCTGCTTCGTCGGGTGACATGCTGCATGCCAAAGGAAGCGAAGAAGGAGCAGGAGTTCCTCCTGGTTGTTTTGCATAGAGACATGAATATTAGTGAAATACATTTAAGGGTGGCTTCGGCTTCGCTTTGTGGCTGCATTCTTGCCCTACGAAGGCAACCATCCAGGGTCAGCGTCGACCTTCGGTCGATATCCTGAAGGTCGATGACTATTGCTGTATTAAATATTATTTAAGCATTAAAGAACGCGTCTGGCAAATTGTATGGAGTTCTGTTTTTCGTGTGAACGTACACCTGAATATAGCAAAGATGTCCCATGATATATTGGAAGAGCTCGGCTCCACATTACCTCATCCCTAATAGGCTAAAAAGTGGTTTGCAGGAGATTATCAGTTTTGTGAGTGGGGAATAGGTAAGCCTTAGACAGAGGACGGGAAAAGGTTCTGTTTGTACTTTGACCCATGTTCTCATTTGAACATTGAATAATTTAAACAGAAGGGGAAAGGATACTTTTTCCTGCACCATGCACAACAAACAATGACTACTATATCGTAAAGACCTCCATAGCTACGCTTTTGTAAATGATCAAATGAGGTTGCTTCAGGAGCGATCGCGTTTGGCTAAAAGAAGAATAACGTTGAGCACTCTTTATCTTGGACATGGGTCTTTGGAGCAAGCCCTGGTGAGTTACCCGCTTTTGCGTATTTTTTCTCGATGAATTTAGTTGTGCGTATACTTCTACTACGTGACTTACTATAGCCTGCCTGTTGAGTTTTCTGTTGGTTTATTTGTATGACAGTACCCACGTATTAGCGTTTGCACCTGAGAATTCATTGAGCAAAATGGATTGCTAAAGAATAAAACCATTTATTTGATAACCTTCTGACTTATAGCACTGACAGAGGCCATACGAGAAGTAAGAGGGGATCACCGCCCGACCACCACTGTATGTAACATCCGATTAACGCATTCGCAGCTACCCAAAGATTTTCAACGTCGCTTCTTAAGGTTATCATTTGAGGACACGGAGTATATCCATGCAAGAGCAGCAACTGCCGCCTGATGATAAGCTCTTAGGTGGTTCTCCTTACTATACTTTTCCGGAGCAAAATTCATTGAGGGAGACCCTTCAATAAGTTATTACTATTCGTTTTGAGCTATTGCTTCTTTTTTATTGTTTCTACCTTTCGTTCAGGTTGATGCTATTAACACGAACCTGAACCAAAATAAAGAACTCCAAGTCTCAATCTTGTTGGATTGTTTGCGCGGAACACGTGATGAACGAAAAGGGAAAAGTAGCACAACGCTTCTGAAAGGAATAGCTGATAGGGCTTCGGTGAGTTTGATTTTATTGATCAGTTTTTTGTGACGACTTTTCTCATTTCAGAGGTTTTTTTTNTTTTTTTTGTGAGTAGGCAGTATTTCGTCCAAAACAAAGTCTATTCAAGGAAAGCCTTCCCCTGATTACTGTTTTATTTCATTTAGTGCCTGATAATATAAACGTACGCCTTCACCTTCACTTTATCATTTGAACATTTTCTTATCAATGTACTCATACGATAGGAAACTCTTCTTCAGGTATATCTCTTCCACACACCTAAGCTTGCTGGACTTGTGAAACGAATCCTGCCTGAAAGGACAAATGAAATCGTTGGTCTTCAACACATGAAGCTTTACATTTTCGACGACACTGTTCTCGTAAGTGGGTGAGCTAGTAATAGTTGAATGGTGTGGATCTTAGCTAATCATTCGAAATCAATACACGTCATACTTTATCATACAACCCGTGATGCTAGCTAGAATTTTGTGCTTGTTTACTTGAGAAAGTTTTCAGAGCTAATCTGTCCGACTCGTATTTCGTTGATCGACAGGACAGATATGTGGCATTTGAAGACAACAAGGAGCTGGCTGATTTCTTCCATAATATCGTCACTGCAGTGGGCGAATGCTCGTTTCTTCTCAATAGTGATGGTTCTCTGAAACTGCATCCCGCTTGTCCAGTGCACCCTTATGAAGGTAAGCTGACTGCCCCATACTTAAGTATGTACGAAAGATCAGTTTTGAATTGCCAATTTTTGCATTTCTGCAGGATCCTCTCACGATTTTCACGCAATTCTGAAATCTCGAGTAGATAAAGTAGTGGCTAAATTACAAAGTAAGGAGTCCTCATCAAACTCGTCCGGAGACACCGTCCTGTATCCACTGTTGCAGATGGGTCTGTTTGGATACCACGAAGAATATGAACTCTTGAAAAAACTTTTCTCGTCAGAGGTAATCTTTTTTCCCGATACAGTCCGCTTTTTTTGTCTAAGGGAGATTTACATCACTTCAGGACGCTAATATGCGCATAACTTTGGCGTCTGGCTATTTCAACTGTATAGATGATTATGAGCAACTAATATTTTCGCGGGGCAAATATCCCATGGACATAATTACTGCTGCTCCAAAGGTGAGCTTTTCGATTCATAAGTGTGTATCATTTTCTAATATTACATTTGAACTGCCTACTATTGTAACTTGTCTTAGAACGAAATAGCTTTTAGTTCCTAGGCTAACGGCTTCTTTGGTGCAGCAGGTCTGTCTGGCTACGTTCCATCGATGTATTCTTGGGTATCATCCAGTGTTTTACGACTGAAAGAAAGGTATAAGAGAGATACAGTCAATCTGTTCGAGTACTGCCGAGATGGTTGGACATTCCATGCCAAAGGCTTGTGGGTAGAAGAACCCATGCGCACGGCAACGCTCATTGGTTCATCTAACTTTGGTATGTTGTTGAATGTTAATTTTGCTCTATCTCTTGTTTAATTAGAGTTGTTAGGCCAACTACTGTTCATTCAGGGGACTGCAAGAATGGAATATGCTCATATTACTTTTGTTAGTTTTTCTTGGGCAATTCGTTGTTTTGTCAGTTTTTTATGTGAAAGGGAAAAGCTTCCGTGTCAATGATGACTCAATAATTAATTAGCAAAAATTGGCATTGCCCACCATTAAAGAAATTAACGATGCGATCTGATTCTTATATGTAGCATCATGAGGGTATCACCACGACCTTAAGACTTGCGACATGATTCAGCGCATGGCCCACTTATGGTACCGTCTTCTTGGAATCGTGAACATAACCATGAATGAACCTCTCTTGCTCGATCCATTATTCTCACTAGGTTGCATCCAGAAGCAATCGCATTGTGAAAAATTTGGTAGTCTCCTTGAGCAGCGCGAGTAAGAATTCACTACTGTTACCAATGGGATGGAATGGTTCTTGCTGAAAACGTGATTTTGATGCCTAACCTGAGTTGGATCTATCCGCTCCAAGACTCTTATTCACTCTATTCAAAAGACAAGTAATATGGAATTGCGACTTAAAATATTTCACGAAGGTTTACTTTTCTGTTAAGGATATCGATCGGTACATCGCGATCTCGAGGCTCAAGTTCTGCTTGTGACTTCAAATGAACATTTACGCAGCCAACTTAAAGACGTGAGTTAGAATCCATTTCAATTAGAAGTTGCTAGAATGAAGTTATTTTTAAGGAGCGTACGAGGCTTTTCGACTACGCTTCAACTTTAGATGGAACTGCCCTCAGGAGAGTTGATCATCATATTCCAGCTGTCGTTAGGATATTATCACGATTTGTCAGGAATTTCTTCTAACTCTCGGTTGTACACCAGTGGAAAAGCCATAGCTCCGAGCAGCTGCTAGTCCTCCTTAAGTTAGTCATGAATTTTTCGTAGTCGGTCTGAAATCGCGGGCCGTCTCCTTTTCTAATCAATGTTTGATATGATCTTTTGTTTGAACACTTACATATATTCGTTCACTCTCAGAACTATGTAAAAGTTGTTTCAAAGATTTTCCGGCTCGACTCAGCCGACGTCGTTCATTGTGTTGTCACTTACGTTTATTTGATTTCTCAGATATTTTGCAATAGCTAGGAAAATAGGGAATCAGTTGCATTTTTTCAATAATGAGACTTCTTTAGCTTCATTTTCAAGACTTTCTATTCCCAGCAGAATGAGGCATTGATTAGGCTTGTTAAGCTCGTTGGAGGAAGTAAAGCTTATATCCGTAGCTGTTCTTCATTGTCCTTTACGGTTTTACCACACTTTTCGAGAATATCTGTCGCAAAATACACTGAAAAATAATCGGTGAAAGTAGTGTTGAAAAGCACTGAAAGTCTTGACTACAGGTGATATGGTATTGCGGCCGATAGGAATTCTGATTGGAAAGGTACTACTTGACAACGCTGCTCGTAAAACTGCAACTGCTCAGGTAAGATTTAGGAGCTGTCGATATGACAGACTGAGAGAAATTTCAGATCTGGTAGGAATTAGAGGTTTTGGAGGTTACAGCTCGTCTGTTTGGTTCCGCTATTACGGAGATAAGCGAGATTGAGATCGCTTCTCTGATGAGTACATCTACATCAACAACAAGAAACACTTTCCAGGCGGCCACTGTTACTCATTTGTTTCACCACTTTTCGACGCAAACTCTTACGCAAACAGTGTAAGAGCTGTAATCACTTGAAATGCGAATGGGTGGAGTCCCCAGAGGCTTCAAACCTCAACATGAGTCAAATGAGCTATGTACTGCTGATATACTCGATCGATCGTTACGGCCGCCCATGTTGAAGCGGATGGCTTTTGGCCATGGAGACGTCACTACCCACGTACGCTTTCCAGAACTGCGTCCCATGATCTGTGTGGTGCACCAACTGACAGGGTGCAGGGATCGCTGTCATGATTTCCCTCATATAATTTCAGAACTGAAGCATGAGGATCTCCGGTTTGTCCNTACTACTTGGCTACTTCAATGTTTGAATGCTGTTACGCTGATTTTATACTGTAGTGTTATCCACAGCTTTTGTTGCTCCCAGAGAACGCTGTAGCAATTGCTCATTCAAGAGCAAACATATTAGATCCTGCCATCTCTTATTGATTAGGCAACACTTTTATGGTGGTCGTATCGGCATTCCACTACGGTGCTCTAAATCGTTCCATTCTCTGTTCTTTAGTAGTTCTGAGATTAGCGTTATTAATCGTCACAAGCTTCAAGCCCTGATCATACTCTTGACTTTTTACTTTCTTTGTGAAAATACTGTGTTACAGATTGTTCGCACGTCCGCTACATTGGCGACATATCAAAATGTTCGCACTAGGAAGCGTACTCCTCGGGCAACTGAAACGAACCCCTTCTTAAAAGAAGAGGTAAGCATGGGAGCAATTTTTTGACGGGTGAGGAGCGGATTTACTTTACATGTGCCTAAAAATAATTTGCGCTGATATCCTCGCAGAGAGGGTCGGAATGGGAAGGAGTGCAGTGCGACACTCCCAAAAAGGGACTGACTGCAGATTTTTTTTATTTGGAAAGTTACTGTTTGTTTTCTCTCTCTAATTTTACAGGTATTGAGCCGAATTGGTGGAAACTGTATTCGTAGAAACCATACACATGCGGAGCGGGAAGCAAAACTGCTCCAGGAATCGCTCGATAATGAAACATGGTTTGTTGGAAACTTTGTCTTCAGTGACTACCTAGAAAATTTATATTATCAGCACCTTTTTTGATAATATTGTATTATGCTAACATGAGCAGACTGCAGAACGTATGCTTTAATAAAGCAAGTTCAGGGTAGCAGTATTTCGGTATCCACGAGTACGATTTGCTGCGCTTCTTGCCAGAGCCAAGCTCGTCCAGACGATTGTCACAGTGTGCTATCTGCCTTATTCGTCGTATGAGTACCTTGTTGGAAATGTCGATGTGACATTTTTTTACTCAACGGCAACACTTGCTGTTTTAGCTCCTTTGCTGCTTGCATTGTTCAGCAGGTAATTTTTTGGAGGCTTTATAATGTCTCGGTAATTGGTGATAATTGAGTGCACGCATTCGATTAGTCCAAACTTCGTTTTCATGTTACCTGCGCTCAGATCTCCGCATGCTACAGTAACCGTATGCAGTGATCACGCTTTAGAAAAAAACCCCTAAAACATGCCTGATTATTGCCTGCGTCTACTGTAGCATGCGAAGCAAGAAACCCAGTATTAACTGTTTAATCGGAAGAAATTGTTTCCGATCACTGAATGTGTACTTTCCACCCAAGTAGACATAGGGACCTAAGCCGGGAAGGGAATGGAGCAGATTGATAAAGAAAAAGAGGCTCATGTGTTAGAGAAGTTTAGTCATCCAAGTTTCGATCGTTGATGACGTTGAACATGCATGATCTTTTGATGGAAGGAGACGAAATTTTTTCTCTGGAAAAGGTGCTCACAGTCAGGTATTATGTCAGGAATCCCTCACCACTTCAACGCTTGAAGTTTTTATTGTGTTTTTTGTTTGCTCTGGTAGTCTTACATGCTATATTTTAAAAACATTTTTTTCTAAAACCCATTAACTGAACCTGTCGCTTGAAGTTATATGAGTTATTCGTTTCATTGTGCAACACCAGGTGTACTGTTGCATAGTACAGTTAAGATGAGGTGTCAAAAATATTAAAATTAGCGGTTGTATGGCCAATCAAACAAGGCAATATTTTTTTCCAGATATTTGAATAGACTTATCGGGGTAATAGCGATGAATGAAAGCAACGATTATGTCAGAATTGGTTACTTGTCGTTCTGGGGATCCCGGAGGAATAAGTGAGTCAAACTTTGTTTTTTCTGCGAAGTAGATTCCTATTTCCGAATGTGAGAAAGATCAGACGTTGTGAAATGCTCAGATATGTCCCTACAGGCTGTCTCGCGTTCAGGTTTACCTTTTGGGCCAAGACTAATGTTTTTGCAAAAGCTCCTTAACTTTGTGCTCCTTTTGCTGTCGCAAACATCCGTTAAAACGACATCTCTGAAAATAAAAGGCATGATGTGTATAGTCTTAAAAGAAAAAGTCTTCTGGCGTTGATGAATCCTATCCGAGGGATGGGCCATGCATTCGACTTCCTTTCAGAATTCTGTAAAGGCATGGGGTATAGTGTTGTTAACTGCGAATAAAATACATATGGCAAGCATTAACAACAAGATATGGTTTTTTNCATTATAACAGATCAGGCTTTAGATACGTGGAGATTGCCGATGTGCTTCCACTGACCGAAGTAGCTGGTAACAAAAACGATGCGTTGGTCAAATTTTCTTGGTTCGGCGGGTGCGTTCAGCGATTTTTTTTTGTCCAAGTAAAATTTTCAAAAGGTACACTCACAGCATTTGTTCAGGAACGGCTTCCTCTACCTACCAATCAAAAACGTTGAAATTGTAGACGAAGAAAGAGCGAAAATATTATTCGGAGACCTGAGCCTATTTAATTCAAAAACGTGATCGGAGTGGGAAACAGCTATTGCAGTGCTATTTCAGTGTTAGCAGTAGGTCTTTTGTAGTATCCGTAGGGTGGTTTAAAACACGGTAGAGATAAGTTTCCACCGCACTCAATCTTTAAATTATTTGTCGATGCGATAGGCAAGAAGGTCCTGCGGTGGAAACTGCCTTGAATAACCCTTTGAACTAGATAGGAAGGAATGTCTAAAGCTTTGCCATGTTTCGCTCGTTGGAAAGTGCTCAAATACGAAATTCGAAGTCATTTGCCATTAAATCAGATAGAAGGTAAAATTTTGATCGGTCTTCTACTACATTCGGGATTCTAGATTCCTTATCGCACCCATTTGTTACGTTTTGTGCGGGGAATTACTTTCCTTAATTTCATATATTTTCAAAATGTTGTTACGATCCAAATTTTCTTAGAACTTGTTCATTGTTCTTAATGTTCCATTGTTCATTGTCTACTCTATTTCATCATAGTAGTACCTTTTAGAGATACTTTTGATTATCCGTCTTGTACATATAGTCGTCGTCTTATACTTGTCAGCATTTCTCGGCATTTCATTTCATACGATTCAACTAGTCCAGGTATCGATAGTATCGATGTTTTCTTCATTTTCGATAAAGCACTATTTTATTTGAGGTGTGTCACACTTTTGATAGGTCGTATCCGTCTGGAAGGATGGAAACGTCGTTGATTGCTGTTCGTCTCCTGAACTTCTACACCGGCGTAGTGAAAATTAAAAGGAAACTTTTGTTGTTCTCGAAGGATTTCTGTATGTCTGAACTGCCATAAGCTCTTTTAGGATATTTCTATAACAAAGAAATGATCAACTCAAATTTCCTCAACTGATCGAAAAAAATTATATTAGAATCCCAGAAGAAGACAGGAACCAGACTGATTTAGTTTTGAAAAGTTGCTGATCTTGACTCACGGTCAGACACTTATCTTAAAGACCCATACTCGGGCCACCATCTCACCAATACTCTACGCTGATAAGTTTAGACTAAATGGGCGCATTCATATAGGTCCGTTTTTACGCAGATATATGCGTAAAACCGCAGATATGTTCGTTTTTACGCATGTATCCGCGTTTTGATGGATCTATTTGAGTTAAAGCATCCCAGTCTGCGTAAAAACGGTCTAGTCGGCGTCAAAACGCACCTACTATGAATGGCTGAACTCGACTTCGATGAACTGAACTTTTGCTTTCCGACCCTTCAATTACACCATTACTATCGCGTAGAAAGGGGTATAAAGAGTGGGAAGGAAGTGACGTGAAATAAATAAAAACAGTAGTTATGAAGTTGAGGAATTTAGAAGAAGTATCTTTTTGGTCCGCTAGCCTTCCATCATATCAACCAAATCCATAATTTCAATATCAGGAAGTTTTGGATCTTTATGTAAGATCCCCAGCACCGCTACTCTCTTCAGATTGATTTTTTCCGTGTTTTTGAGAGCATAGGCAATCTTCTTATGAATCGTCTCAGCCATACTAATTTCCGTTGGCACGCTATCACGCACTCCCAGTGGTTACCAGGAACTAATATTCATTTCCTTACCTTTCTATGTATTGGTCTGATTGCTCATGATTTCAAGACATTTAATTGCTTGAGACCTAATGTTCAGATGTCTTGAAAAGCCTTGCCCGGTTGGCATAGATCTTCATAGCAGTTGAGAAAGTGTCAGAGTGAAGGTACAGTTAACGGTAGTTTTGGGTGGCTATTTTTAGATCAAAAATGGAAGTGATAGCTTAGAATAGCGCAGAAGTGGCGAAAGAAACGCGAAAATTGGCGTAACTAGGGGAATATAAGACTCAAAAAGTAGCAAAACTAAGGGTTAGACGTGACTTTGACGGCAAAAGTTGGGGTATTTAGACGATCTATGGTCCGTGCTCCATTGCTTACAGCTGGCTACAGTAAGCTGCCGGCGTGGAGCATGTGGGTCCCGGTGCGGTCCTGGTGCAACCGTACAGCCTCAACGATACCATGCGAACTCGTGCCTTTCGGTGTGCACTGGGCTAAGTCGGTATTGGAGTTCTTTTTACACTTACATAGTCTTTGCCATCCAGCTTCCTCTGTATTGATGTACAGACTCTGTTCTATACCAATTTTAAATGATCTCACCAAGCTTCCATTTACGATTCACATAAAATTACTTTTGGAATCGAATAGGTACGTAGACTAGGAAATCCGTCTTGGAATGCTTAAGAATGGTTCCTAGAAGAGTCCACTGAACGTGATGGCTTAAGTTTTTCTGTGCTTTTTGCTTCAGCTGAGATGAAGATAGGGCAGAAGAGCCGGGACGGGCCAATATCATATGCCCGTGATCCAGTCATCGAATTTCTGTCAATACCCACTAGTTCAACTGAATTTCCTAATCAAGGAGTGGGAAAATGATAGCAAACCCACCCGAGAGGTTGAAAAGCTAGCTGGTCCTTTGGCTGTCTGGCCGCAGCTCCTCAGACCAACCACCATTCTCTGCTACACGGACCAAAAAGAACATTTTATGGAATTTACGGATATGGTATTGGTTGTTCTAGCCTTAATTCCTACATACGACACTATGTGCAAACGGATGTTATTATTTTCTGTGCTGTGTCCAACGCTAAGTAACTACCGGATGGCGTTCCGATCATATTTCCGCCATTTCGCATTTGCTCTGCCTCTCCTTGCTTGACACACCCACGTGCTCTTCTTCAGTTAATAACTCATCAGTCTATGAATTTTCAACAAGTATTTGGAACGTAAAGAACCTCAGACCTTTCGTGCCACAGTACATGAATCCTCTAAGTTCCCCGACAAGAATTGCAGCGATATTCGCAGATATGTGCTCTTATGCCACTTTTCATTTCTCTTCGAGTGGAAGAGGTGCATAGGTGAGGCTGGCCTCCAAAATCGGCCAAAAATCCCCTCTGCGCCGTTTTTATTTCAGAATCATGAAACGAGCATTTGACTTTTTGGCTTTCTGAGACTTTTCATGACTTTCCGGATGAAGCTTAAATCCATTCCAGCGCTTCTGTTTCCACAAATCAGAAGTATCGAAGGGCAGCCTACAGCCTCGAATTCTACTTTATGCATTCTGTATCCGGGTTATTCAGAATCATGTGAAGTCCGGCGGTAGAAACGATATGGCAGTCAATTTTAGCCTAACCAGTAAAACTCCAGCTGTCCGCTGTCACTGTAAATATACCGATGGTCTGTATTTTAGACCTAAAGTTTCGCCTAAAAGCACATTTATGAAGCAGTCCTGGTCCCAGCATACAAGGCACTCAGCACTTCTGAGTAGGCTCTGAATTGCCATCAGAGTCACCGAAGGTAAGAGGATTCTAGGAATAGGACCTAGCAGCGTTTGATGGATTAATTCCAAATCCTTTACTGTAGGCTTGCAGTTTAACTCCAGGATCAGAAGTTTTCAAAGGAGGAGTTAAAAGATCACACACCCAGGCGAACGAGCAATAAGTTACAGTCCAAGTATGGCAAGTTCAGTGAGAGCTAGTCTTCCCTTTGATGACTTGGGTAATGAGTAATGGACATTTGGGTAGAACAAATTGAACCCGAAAGACCAAGTACGTGAACGCTCTCTATTCGCTGTGCCAGAGGCCTAATTCGACTTCAATCTTCAATTTCTGTAGCTTCTCCAGATTATGTTACCACACTGTCGGGATCTCATTACGGTATCCAAGTATGATATGTCAGTAAACTGAAAGCTGCCAATCAGAATTTTTGTGGAAAGAATCGATTTATTGGCTGGCCTTCTATTTATAATGAAAATTTTTTCTACTCTATTCTTATACCTTCCATTCCAAACGAGTGTTCCTCAGAATACAATATTCTTTCACCTCTTCTCATCACTCGCAGGAGTTTGACAAGCTTATGACTTGCTGAAATTCAAGTATTGTGAACCACTATGGTAGTTGAATAGAATGAAGCGAAAGGTACGGATCAGAGCAAAAATAAGCTTCAAAATTTCGAATTCTACTTTTAGACTGTACGGTATACGATAAAAACGAATGCGTGTTTTCCTAGTGTTCACGTCGACCTGGCACGCCAGCCTCCGGGCTTGGGTGAATGTGGCAAAAAAATATGTGCCTTCTCCACCGAATCCCTGAGTTTTTCTCTCCTCTACTGTATTGATTCAAACACATTTTGCCGGTGGAAGAATGTGGCTTCTTAACATTTTCGGGAATGAAAAGGAAAGTTTTCCTAACCTTCTTTAACCTATTCCGCTTAGTGCGTTACTCCATTTTGATTTTCCTTATCTCTAAAGCAAGTTCTTTCTTAGGAACCATACAGTTTGCTGAAACTTTTACAGCATTGTGCCATAGTATATGGATGGATTCAGTGGTCCTCTCCCCTTCGTAATTCCTTTAGACCTCTCATTGCTTTATATATTTTTGAAGCTGGCACCTCAGTTCGGGAAATCTCGCGCACTAGCACTAATCAACTGTGCTCAGACTTTGAGTTGACATTATGGCCTATGACTCGTCATACGAGTAACACAATCTTCTTTGGACCAGATCTTTTTGGGCACAATCACCATCTCGTAAAACCCTAAACTATGGGTTCTCTGACGAGCTTTAAAGGTAACGATGAGGTCTACTTTCGGTTTGAATTCAACTATGCCCGTGTAGGAACAGAATCTGATGTTTCGATTACATGAAAGAGAAAAACTCTCTCTTGCGGGTCTCATTGAGCTTGCTTTGTAGGGATGTTGCAAAATGAAGGAAGAGCTATGGATTGCGTGCTAGAGGTCTACTTCATGCTGAAATATTAAGCTTGATCGATGACGATGTCGCACACATCTTCCACAAACACACTCTGAGTAAGCTACCATTGAAAGACATATGCGTCGATTAGCAGTAATTTCCTGATGAGCAAAGATAAAGACCAAAGTCCTGAAAAATGACGAGAATTAGTGAGCAAATCAATTGAGGTGGATTGGGTGAACACCTGCAATTCCAGTAGTCACTCCCTATATTTTATATGTTATTTTCTTCAAT